CAGTGCATCTCCTCCGTGCTTGCCGCGACGTGCGTGAAGAAGCAGGAGCTGCTGCAGGAGCTCTTCTCTGAGCTCTGTACCTGCCTCGCTCCCCCTCCCAGCTCGGGCAAAGCCGCCCCGCTGTCCGAGGAGCTGAAGCTGGCTGTGATCCAGGCACTCCACACCCTGATGCATTCGGCTTATGGGGATATTATCTTGTCTCTGTACCAACCTTCCACCCTTCCGCTCCTAGGATTTGCTGTGTCTTTGCTTCTGACCCTTGCAGAGCAAGAAAAAGCAAAGCAAATCAAGATCTCTGCTTTGGAGTGCTTGCAGGTCCTGGTTCTGCAGTGTGACTGCCAGGAGCACCGACATCTGGATGAAGATGAGGCACAGCAATGTGGGGATTTGTTTGCTTCTTTTCTACCTGGGATTTCTATTACACTGTCTCGAGTTATTGCTGGAGACATCAAACAAGGTCACAAAGCCACCGTTTCTGCCATCAGACTCTTTTATCTGATTGTTGGCTTGGTCATGGCTGACAAACAGCTAGCCAGAATCCCAAAGAGTAAGGAAAAGCTGCTAGTGGAGCACAGCAAAATATCAGAGCTAATGATCCACAGAGGACCTGACTGGACTAAAAGTACTGCTGAAAAACTCTCTCTTCTCTTGCATAAGGTGGTTGAATCTTCTTCAGTTCACCCCCACTGGAAGGTGAGACTGGAGCTGGTGGAGCTGGTCCACCACTTACTGAGGAACTGCAGTCAGTCACTGGTGGACTCATTCAGTCACCTCTTAAAGGCCTTGGTTGGGCTGGTTAATGATGAAAACAGTGAAGTCCAGAGCAGATGTAACAAAGTTCTGCAAGGGATTGCAGAGCAGAGGATTGTGGCACAGAGCAGGGCTCTTGCTGATGTCCTCTCTGAGAACCTCCATTCCCTTGCCACAGCCCTTCCCCGCCTGATGAACTCTCAGGATGACATGGGCAAGGTTTCCACGCTGAGCTTATTGCTGGGCTACCTGAAGCTGCTGGGCCCCAAGATTAACATTGTCCTCAACTCCGTGTCCCACCTGCAGCGCCTGTCCAAGGCGCTGGTGCAGGTTCTGGAGCTGGATGTGACAGATGTGAAGATAGTGGAGGCCCGGCGCTCTGGGCCACCGGGCCCCTTGCAGCAGGGTGTGCAGAAGGGCAGGTGCCAGAAGAAATATTTCCGCTTCTTCACGGAGGAGAAGGTTTTCCAGCTCCTTCAGCAAGTGTGTCGTGTTCTTGGCTACTATGGGAACCTCTACCTGCTTGTGGATCACTTCATGGGGCTGTACAGCGAGTCTGGCCTGTACCGAAAGCAGGCAGCCATGATCCTCAACGAGCTGCTCATGGGAGCTGCCGGGGTGGGAGTGGATTTCCTGCAGGAGAGGGAAGTTCCGCCGAGCATGGATGATCTCAAAAGGTCCATAACATCCATTCTGGATGAGTACATGGACCAGACAAACTGGTATTTGGTGACCAGCATTGACACAGAGGAAGGCAGCCCTGAGCAGTCAGTGCAGCACCTGGGGCTCGCTGTCCGTGCAGGGGGGACATCCAGCAGCGCCCTCCATCTGTCCCCAGAGCCCCCAGTCACAGCCCGCACCATGAACAGCAACATCTGGCAGATCTGCATCCAGCTGGAGGGCGTTGGCTGCTTTGCTGCTGTCCTTGGGAAGGAGTTCCGGCTGCTGCTGCTGTCAGCTCTCTACCCTGTGCTGGAGAAGGCTGGTGACAGGACTCTGCTCATCAGTGAGACAGCACTGGGGACCCTGGCAGACATGTGTGAGGCCTGTGGGTACAGCTCAGTGCAGTGTTTGATCAATGAGAACTCTGACTACCTGGTGAACGGGATTTCCCTGAACCTGCGCCAGCTGGCCTGTCAGCCACGTGCATCCCAGGTCCTGGACACGATGCTGAGGCATTCAGATGCCAGCTTGCTGCCACTGATAGAAGATGTTATCCAAGATGTCCTGTCTGCTCTAGATCAGACTTACAGTAGCCAGGCTTCCACCTTCCTCAGGGTCCTCCACTCAGTCATGACTGCTCTAGGTACCAAAATGATGTTTACTTTGTGTAATTCAGCCTTGCTGTCACTAAGGGTACTTGTCTTGTGCCTTTCCCCTTGCCATGGGAGGTTCCAGGTAGCCAAGGTGTTTGCAGTGTGATGGCCACTGTGCTTTGCTTGCTGGGCCAGCACTCAAGCAAAGATCACCAGTAGCTTTCCCTCTCCAGTTTGCCTGACCTGCAGCCTTTCACAGGAACATGGCCTTTAGTGGCTGAGAAAGGATGGGCTCACTGCTCCCATGAACATTCTGTAGGAGCACATGGCATGTATTTCTTTTTATTTTTACCATATATTCCTTTTTAACTTTCCTGTACTGTCAAGGAGGTGACTGGGAAGTAGATGACCTGAATCAGGTGCAACCCCATGAACCTTCTCATCTCTCATGGAATCCGTGGCACCTTGCTGACTTGCAGGTGGGATCGTGGTTGCCCAGTGACATGTCAGTTCCTTTTTTGCAGTGCAGTGGTTTGGAATGCCCAGCACTGAGGAGCACCAGCAAAGGCAGACTGACAAGGGGCAGAGCAGGGCTCAGTCCCAGGGACAGCAGGAGGTGACATTGACAAGTCAAGAAGTGGAAAGATTCTTCCTTGACTACATCAGCCAGAAGAAGATCGCAGAGGGGGATCTTCCTGACCTGGAGGAGGAGGAGGAGGCAGGTCAGTGCTGTGCATGGCTGGAGAGGAGTATGGGCAGCTTGCAGAGAGACTGTGACTTCTGAGGTGTCCTTTTGTCACATGGAGGCCTTGGGAC